ATCAAAGACCTAAACATAAGAACTGAAATAATAAACTGCATAGAAGAAAAAATAGTTACTAAACTTATGGACCTTGGGTTCAAAAAATATTTTATGAATTTGCCTTCAAAGGCAGGGGAAGTAAGAGTTAAAATAAATGAATGGGACTATATCAAACTAAAAAGTTTCTACATAGTAAAAGAAACCGTTGACAAAATAATGAGGCAACCAACAGAATGGGAGAGGATATTTGCAGATAACGCCTCCAATAAGGGGCTAATATCCAAAATGTATAAGGAACTCATACAACTCAACAACAAAAAAACAAACAATCCAATTAAAAAATGGGAAGAGGACCTGAATAGACATTTCTCCAAAGAGAGCATACAAATGGCCAACAGACATATGAAAAAATGCTCAGCATCACTAATCATCAGAGAAATGCAAATAAAAACCACACTAAGATATCACCTCGCACCAGTTAGAATGGCTATCATCAACAAGACAAATAATAACAAGTGTTGGAGAGGCTGTGGAGAAAAAGGAACCCTCATACACTGTTGGTGGGAATGCAGATTGTGCAGCTGCTATGGAAGGCAGTGTGGAGCTTTCTCAAAAAATTAAGAATAGAATTAACATATGACCCAGCAGCCCCTCTCCTGGTTAGCTACCCAAAAAATCTGAAAACATTTATCTGTAAAGATATATGTGCTCCGGGGCTGGCCGAGTGGCTCAGTTGGTTAAGAGCTCGCTCAAGAGTTTGAGCTCTGAGCAACAGCGGTTCGATGCCCAGCCCGAGCTGAGTTGCCACTGAGCTGCCAACAGGTGGCAGGATGGCTTAGCTTAAAAAAAAAGATATATGTGCTCCGATGTTCATTTCAGCTTTATTTACGGTGGCCATGACATGAAAACAACCAAAGTATCCTTCAATAGATGGTTGGATAAAGAAGTTGTGGTATATATACACAATGGAATACTATTCTGCCATAAGAAAAGATGAAATAGTGCCATTTGTGACAATATAGATGGATCTTGAGATTATTATGCTAAGGGAAATAAGTCAGACAGAAAAAGTCGAGAACCATACGACTTCACTGATGTGTGGTATATGAAACTGAAAACAGCAAAAGAACAAGACAAACAAATGGAGAAACAAAATCGTAGATACAATAGTTTAGTGGTTACCAGAGGGTAAGGAGGAGAGGATGGTAGACAAGGATAAAAGGGATCAAACATATGGTGATGGAAAGAGAACTGTCTCTGGGTGGTGAACACACAATGTGATGTATAGATGATGTATTACAGAATTGTACACCTGAAGCCAATGTAGCTTTCCTAACAATTGTCACCCCAACAAATTTTAATTTAAAAAAATAGTGAAAGTTCAATATTAGATGTTGCCTGGTGAATATTTGTCATTCAAACCATATGGTGCTACAAATAGACGTATCTGAGGATCTGTGAGATGTAAGGTTGCCCTCAAACTTCAGCATGAGAAAAAACTACAGCAGTTTTTTTAAAAGAATACTTCATCAATGCTCACCCATCTCCTACCATAAAACCCCCCTCCAGACTTGCCACACACAACAAATTCCCTTCTTTGCCGTAACTCCAAAAGGGTATAAGGAACAGTTCACCCAGATTCCCACTGTTGTTTGAAGGCTGACATATTAGCTGACCAGGGAAGTTCATCTTATAACTCATTGCTGCACTGTGCTCAAGGTGGAGTTCTAAGCACATGGTAATGAATTGAGGGAGTATCACTAGGGGATAGTTGAGCTCTGAATGGGGAGAGTCTAGGAAATTTCATTTGGAAGGAACAGAGTTCGATGATGTGGCCTTGATTCACAGGAAAATGTAGGGAATACAGTTATCAGACCAAGACCTAGATCTTCAAATAGAAGGGGCTGTCAGTTTGTGTCCCACAGGTACTTTCCAACCAGCTCTCATAAGCCAGCTCCACTCAATTGCTTTCTGCTTACAAATAGGTCCTTGGGAAACATCCTTATCTTTTCTCAGTAGGCACAAAGAAAGGGTTCTTGGGGGAGAATAATAGTGGCCTATCAACTTGCTTACTTTGGTTCTGCCCGCCTCCTTTCCTTACTTTGACATGCTGTAATTCCCAAGTTACCCCCATTGTTCTTACTCAGGTGAGCTGCAGTAAAGCCAGTTGTATTTTTATACCAATTTTCTACTTGAAAGAAAAGAGGAGGGTGGAGTGTGAATATTTTTCTTAGGAAAATGCCTTTTCCAAGTGCCTCTCCTAACAAAGTTTTCATTAGGTAAACAGTTATTGAGTACATACTATCTTCTAGAAGCCATGCTAGTCCCTATCCTATTTATATAAAAATTGAATGGAGCTAATATTAGCCACATCATGACCTTGTTTAGAGATTCAAATCTTGATTGTACATCAGGTAAATACCCAGAATTTGAATTTCTGGGTTGTAAGGTAGTTCTATTTTTATTTTCTTGAGAAAATTTAAAATTGTTTTTCATAGTTGCTGCACAAATTTGCAGTCCCACCAACAGTGAACAAGGGTTCCCTTTTCTCCACATCCTCACCAGCACTTGTTGTTTGTGGGTTTATTGATGATCACCATTTTGACAGGTGAGGTGATATCTCATTGTGATTTCAACTTGCATTTCTCTGATGATTAGTGATGTTGAACATCTTTTTATGTCTATTGGCCATGTGTATGTCCTGTTTGGAGAAATGTCTATTCAGGTTCTCTGCCCGTTTTTTAATTGGATTGTTTGGGGTTTTTTGTGTATTTTTTATGAGTTCTTTATAGACAACTGGATAAAGAAGATGTACCTATGTACAATGGAATATTACTCAGCCACAAAAAAGAATGGAACCTCACCATCTGTGACAACATGGATGGACCTAGAGGGTATTATACTAAGTGAAATAAGTCATACCGAGCAAGACAAATACCATATGATTTCACTTATATGTGGAATCTAAAGAACAACATAAACGAACAAACAAAACAAATAGACCCATAGATACAGAGAACAAAGTGATGGTTACCAGATTAGAGGGGAGTTGGGGGACTGGGTGAAACTTGTGAAGGGTTTAAGAAGTACAAATCAGTAGTTACAAAACAGCCATGGAGGGGTCAGCCGAGTGGCTCAGTTGATTAAGAGTTAGCTTAAGAGCGCAAGCTCTGAGCAACAAGGCCGCCAGTTAGATTCTCACATGGGCCAGTGACGCTGAGCCCGAGCTGAGCTGTCGTTGAGTTACCAATAGGTGACAGGATGGCTCAGCTGGTGAGAGCACATGCTCCTAATAACAAGACTGCCTGTTCGATGGTGGGCTATGCCCACCTGCAGCTAAGACTGAACTCGGCACCTTGAGCTGAGCTGCCACCTGGATGGCTCAGTGGATGGAACATATGCTCTTAACAACAAGGCTGCCGGTTCGACTCCTGCATGGGATGGTGGCTATGCCCACCTGCAACTAAGATTTGTAACACAGCACCTTGAACTTAGAGGCCACGAGCTGCCAATGGGCAGCCAGATGGTGACTGGCGCCCTCAGAACTAAGATTGAAGAACAACTTGGCTGGCCCACCTCCCCAGTTCCCCAATACTGTTCCTCTCCTCCAATTCCCCAATTTAAAAACAAACAAACAAACAAACAAACAAAAAACCCCAGCCATGGGGATGTAAAGTACAGAATAAGGAATATAGTCAATAATATTGTAATAACTATATACAATGCCAGGTGGGTGCTGGACTGATTGGGGGGAATCACTTCATAAGTTATGTGGATGTCTAGCCTGTATGCTGTTCACCTGAAACTAATATAAAATAATATTGAATGTCAACTTTAATTGAAAAATAAAAATATAAAATCTTGATTGTGCATGAAGAACAAAAAGGGATTATGATTGGGGCAGGACCTACTTTGGATAAAAAAGACATATTTTGGCAAAGAAAGACTTTATGAGGAAAAAAATATCTAATCTCAGACTTAAAAGATAAGGAGCCAGCCATTCAAACAGTTATGCAACAGAAATATAATTTTCTAATAGCCACATTATACAAAGTAAAAACAGTAAAATTTATTTTGATAATATATTTAAACTAATATATTCAAAATATTGTCATTTCATAAGCCATCAATATATTATTGATATATTTAAACTCTTTTTTCATATAAAATTATGAAATCTTGTGTGTATTTTATACTTATGGAACACCTCAATTTGGAGTAGGCTCATTTCAAGAGCTTATTAGAATCTCCAAAGAAGTCCACAACATGGCTAGTATTAGCTCCATTTAACAGTTTGGGAAGTTGAGCCTCAGAAAAGGGAAGCGAGTGATCAGAAGCCACACAAGCTTGTAGTGCTTGGGTTGAATTGCAGTTCTGCTGAGTACGAGTGTAGTACCTTACCATTTGCTTTAGTGATCTTCCTTTTTGCATATGTTGGTTGGCCAATAGCTTCCCAGAACTACCCTCATGAGCCTCTCCTCTTTGTTTAATGTTCAGAGTAAGAGAGTTCATTCAGAAAGAGATACCAAGTAAATGAGAATCTTATAAGGCTTCGTATTCTATATGAAGCAAGGGTATGGCCTAAATAAGAATAATACAGATCCTTATGTTCACTGACCCCCAGTCACACAGGCCTCTTTGTTCCTGGAACATGTCAGGCATGCTCCTAGCTTAGGACCTTTGCATTTGCTCTTCCCTCCACCTGTAATTCTCTTCGCCAGAAATCTTTATGGCTTGCATTTGACTTGTTTTAGGACTGTTCAAATATTACCTCCTCATAGAGGCCTTCTCTGACTATCTTTTCTTCTAAAATATGTACCTTCCCAACTCATTAATCTATTTTTATTTAACCTTGATGGAGTTCAAATGACTTTACTCTAGATCAGACGAGACTTCCTGTCCAGAATTTTCTGGATGGCGTATCTTCCTAGACTAGAAGACGTGCTTTCTGCAGTACTTGGCATGCTTCATACTCTTTCTATTGACAAGACTGTAAATGTGGTCTCATTCTTTTCTAGGTGTATGGAACGGGGCAAGCGGATCCAGCTTTCCAATGCAACTCTGAAAAGTGATCTCCCTACAGGCAACAGGATCCTGTCCATTGAGGAAACGGTAGTGACAAGTGGAGAAAAGACAAAGGTAGACTTCTGGGAGTTGCTGTGATAGAAGCAACCTCACAACCTGTATATGAGTGGGCCCTGAGGCCATAACATGTTCGTGTTTGGCAAATTTGAGGAAGAGAGAGAAAGACAAGAGTGTGGTGAGGGAGAGAGTGACAAGAATTAAAGCCAGAGAGGCAGACATGGACTTGATGATGCAGGGCCTTGGAGGACGTAGTAAATCTTCATCATTTCATCCTCAGTGCAAAGAGAAGTTGTGCAAGGATTTTTTTTTAAGATTTTGTATTGGGGAATTGGGGGGATGGGAACAGTGCTGGGGAATGGGGGAAGGGGAACAGACAAGTTGCTGTCCTTATGTTCTTCAGTCTAGTTTTGGAGGACGTTGCTTTACTGGCCCAAGTTGGCACCATCATTGCACTTTTCCCGGGTGAGGCAGATCAGTCGCCGGCTTCTGGACAGCCACTCACTGCGGCTGCTGGCCGCTCACGCTGGCTGCTGGCTACACACAGTAGCCCATGGAAACCCACTGTCACAGGGGCTGTAGCCTTTGCCGTCGCCGGCGACTCACAGCAACCCAGCTCCAGGTTGAGCTGTTGTTCAGCATCTTAGCTGTATAGGGCACTGGACCTCATATGTGGGATCTGAACCGGGGCCCTCTGGCGTCCCAAGCCAGTTCTTAACCATCGCGCCACTTGGCCAGCCCTGCAAGGATATTTTTTAAAGCATGGCTCAAAGTATCTTTTCATGAGATAACTCTGTTTACTGTGTGACTTGTTTGAAAGCTCTAACTGGTTTGAAGGGAGCAAGAGAGGAATCAGATAAGTTAGAAGTCTATTGCTGTGGTGTAGGCAAGAAGGGTACTGGCTTGTACTAGGAAGATTGCAGCATAGTGGAAATAAATAGATGGACTTTGGATATGTTTTGGAGGCATCAGTGACAAGTTTTGCTGATAGGTTAAATGTGGTTGGAAGTGAGGGAAAGAGAAATCAAGAATGATTCCTAGCCTTATGTCCTAAGAACTGAATAATTTGGTTTTCTTTGAAATTCTTAATATATATTTTTTCTTTTTGCACATCACTCCACCCTCCTCTCCTTTGGCAATGATCAGCTTGTTCTCTATATCTATGGTTCTGTTTCTCATTTGTTTCATTTATTCAATTTTTCTAGATTTCACATATAAGTGAAATCCTATAGTATTTCTTTTTCTCTGATTTATGTCACTTAGAATAATAACCTCTAGGTACATCCATGTTATTGCAAATGGCAAGATTTCATTCTTTTTTATTCCTGAGTATTATTACACACACACACACACACACACACACACACACATATCACATCTTCTTTATCCATTAATCTATCAATGGATACCAAAGTTGCTTCCATATCTTGGCTATTGTAAGTAATGCACTGAATGTATGTAGGGTTGTGTATATCTTTTTGAATTAGTGTTTTTGTTTTCTTCAGATAAGTACATAGAAGTGAAATTGCTGGGTCATGTGGCAGCTATATTTTTAATTTTTTAAAGAAATCTCCATACTGTTTTCCATAGTGGCTGTACCAATTTACAATCCCAACCACAGTGTACCAGGGCTCCCTTTTTCCACATCCTTGCTAGCACCTGTTATTTGTTGATTTTTTTATGAAAACCATTCTGACAGGTGTGAGGTGATATTTCATTGTGGTTTTAATTTGCATTTCCCTGATTATTACCACTGTTGAGCATTTTTTCATATGTCCATTGGCCATCTGTATGTCGACTTTGGAGAAATTTCTATTCTGATAATCTGCCCAATTTTTAATTGGATTGTTTTAATTTTTTTCATATTAAGTTGTATGCATTCCTAAAATATTTTGGATTTTAATCCTTTATCAGATGTTTCAATGGCAAATATATTTCCACATTCAGTAGGCTATGTTCTTGTTTTGTTGATGGTTTCTTTTGCTGTGCAAAAATGTTTAGTTTGATGTCCCATTTTCTTATTTTACTTATTTTGTTACCCTTGCTGGAGGAAATGTATCTGAAAAGATACTATTAAGACCAATGTCAAAGAGTTTATTGCCCATGTTTTCCTCTAAGACTTTTATGGTTTCAGGTCTTACATTTAAGTCTTTAATCCACTTTGAGTTTAGTTTTATATATGGCATAAGATAGTGGTCTAATTTAATTTCTTGCAAGTATCTGTCCAGCTTCCCCGGCACCACTTATTGAAGAGACTGTCTGTATCCCATTGTATATTCTTGCCTTCTATGTCATAGATTAATTAACCATATAAATGAGTATTTATTTGGGGGTTGTCTGTTCTATTCCATTGATTTATATATCTGTTTTGATGCCAGGACCATACTGTTTTGATTATTTTCAATTGTAGTATAGATTAAAGTTGGGAATGTGATGCCTCACACTTTGTTTTTTTCTCAAGATTCCATTGGCTATTCAGGGTCTTTTGTGGTTCCATATACATTTTAGGATTAGTTGTTCTAGCTGTAAGAAGACTACCATTGATATTTTAATAGAGATTGTATTGAATCTGTGTATTCCTTTAGATATTAAAGACATTTTAATGATATTAATGCTTCAATCTATGCACATGATATATACTTTCCTTTATTTGTATCCTATTCAATTTCTTTCTTTAATGTCTTATAGTTTTTTAGAGTATAGGTCTTTTAACTCTGCTTATTTTTATGTTTTTAGTTGCTATTGTTTCTTTATTGTGTGTGCGCATATGAATCATATTGTTAAAAGGCATATTTTGATCTAATAAGTCTATAGTAGGACACAACAGTCTACATTTCTTCTTTTAATTTTTTTATTAGTTTCAGGTGTACAAAACAATGCAATAGTTATACTTTTCATCCCTCACAAAATGACAACCTCCCTCAATTAATCCACCGACCCCTATCCTTGATATCATTCATATGTATTACAGCTCCATTGACTCCACTCCCCACACTGTACTCCCTATCCCATGATTTTATATATATATATATAGATAGATATAGATATAGATATAGATATAGATATAGATATAGATATAGATGATATAGATATGGATATATAGATATAAAATTATAGTTGACACACAATATTATTCAACTTCAGCTTCAGGTGTACAGTGCAGTGGTCAAGCCTCTACATGGTTTATGAAGTGGTCTCCCTAAGAAGACATGTGACCATCTGAAACCCTAAAAAATATTTACGTTATTGATTATATTCCCCAAACTGTGTTTCATATCCCTGTGGCACTATTGTAGTTACCAATTTGTGTTGTATAATTCCTTCCCTTTATCTCTCATCCCTACCCCCATCCCATCTAGCAACCATCAGTTTTTCCTATATATTTCTGAGACTATTTCTGTTTACTTTGCTCATTTATTGAGTTCTTTAGATTACACACATAATTGAGATCATATGGTATTTGTCTTTCTCCGACTGACTTATTTCACTTAGCAAAATGTTCTCTAGGTCCATCCATATTGTTGCAAATGGTAAGATTTCATTCTTCTTTATAGCTGAGCAATACTCCATTGTATAAATGTACCATGGTTTCTTAATCCAGTCGTCCACTGATGGGCATTTTGGTTGTTTCCAAGTCTTGGGTATTGTAAATAGTGCTGCATTAAACATGGGGGTGGCATATATATTTTCTAATTAGTGTCTAGGGTTTCTCTTGATAGATACCTAAGAGTGGAATTTCTGGGTCATAAGGTAGTTCCATTTCCAGTTTTTTGAGATACCTCCATACTGATTTCCATAATGGCTGCTCCATCTGCAGTTCCACCAACAGTGCAGCAGGGTTCCCTTTTCTCCACAGCCTCACCAGCACTTGTTGTTTGTTGATTTATTGATGATAGCCATTCTGACCGGAGTGAGGTGGTATCTCATTGTGGTTTTCATTTGCATTTCTCTAACAATTAGTGAGGTTGAGCATTTTTTCATATGCCTGCTGGCCATCTGTATGTCCTCTTTAGAGAAATGTCTCTTCATATCATCTTCCCAGTTTTTAATTGGGTTGTTTGTTTTTTTGGTGTTGAGTTGCATGAGTGTTTTATAAATTTTGGATATTAACCCCTTATCAGACGTATCATTGACAAATATCTTTTCCCATTCAGTTGGCTTCCATTTTGTTTTATTGATGGTTTCCTTTGCTGTCAAAAAACTTTTAAGTTTCATGTAATCCCATATGTTCATTTTTTCTTTTACTTTCCTTGCCTGTGGGGATATATCAGTAAAAATATTGTTTAGGGTAATGTCTGCAAATCTACTCCCTATATTTTCTTCTAGGAGTTTTATAGTTTCAGGTCTTACATTTAAGTTTTTGTTTTTGTTTTCGTTTTTTTAGCTGAGCCATCCTGCTACCTGTTGGCAGCTCAGCAGCTGCTCAGCTCGGGCTGGACCTGAACTGCTGTTGCTCAGAGCTCAAACTCCTGAGCGAGCTCTTAACCAACTGAGCCACTTGGCCGGCCCATTTAAGTTTTTAATCCATTTTGAATTTGTTCTTGTATATGGCATAAGGAGGTGGTCCAGTTTTATTTTTTTGCATGTGTTAGTCCAATTTTCCCAGCACCATTTATTAAATAGACTATCTTTACCGAATGTAAATTCTTGCTTCCGTTTTCATAGATTAACTGACCATATATGAATGGATTTATTTCTGGACTCTCTATTCTGTTCCATTGACCTATGTTTCTGTTTTTATGCCAGTACCATACTGTTTTGATTACTCTAGACTAGTATGATTTGATGTCAGGTACCATGATACCACCAACTTTGTTTTTATTTCTCAGGTTTCCGTGACTATTCGGGGCCATTTATGGTTCCATAGAAATTTTAGGATTATATTTTCTATTTCTGTGAAAAATACCCTATGTAGTTTTATAGGAATTGCATTGAATCTGTATATTGCCTTAGGCAGTATAGGCATTTTTGTTTTGTTTTGTTTTTTAGCTGAGCCATCCTACTACCTGTTGGCAGCTCAGCGGCTGCTCAGCTCGGGCCAGACTCGAACCGCTGTT